ACTCTCGTAGTTGCCCAAAACAAATTAATAATAAAGATAAAGGCAAAACCTCACCTTAACACAAAAAAAAAAAAAAATTATTAATAAAGTTGAATTTCTTATAATTATTAGTGATGGTTAGTAAATAATTTTATTATTTAGAGAATTAATATTTATATATATTTTTTTTAATATTTTATTAAATAAAAATATAAATATTAGTTTTTAAAAATTATTTTTTTAAAATTAAAAGATTAATATTTTTAAATTTATTTTTATATTATTATAATATTTAGGTTAAATTTAGTTTTAGAGCATTAGACAAATTATATTATTATTACACCAATTTTTGTATTTGTATTTGCTAAACCAACAGGTGAAGTTCAACAAAATAGTAATAATATTGCAGCAGATTTGGAAAAAATTATTTTAGATTATGATATTAAGAAAATTTCAGTAATTATAATAGATAATGCCTTTGTTATAAAAAAGCTTTAAAAATTTTAGATAATAAATATTCAAAAATTATTTTTATAAGATGTTTAGCTTATAATCTTAATTTACTTGTTAGTGATATTAAATTAGATTGGACACAAAATATATTAACAAATATAATATTAGTAGTGAAATTTTTTAAAAATCATACAATTCTTGTAGCAATTTTAAAAAGATACCAAAAAGATAAATATAGTTCAAATTATAAAACTCTTAAATTATCAGTTGAAACTAGGTAGGATTCTACAATAAATTGTTTGAATTTAATTAAAGTTAATCAGTTAGCAATTAGTTTGGCAACTACTAAATTAATTAATCATTCAACATTTCTTATTGATTCAAATATTATAGAAATTATTCAAAATCATAAATTTTGGAATGAAGTTCAAAATTTATTAATTATTTAAAAAGTTTAGTAAATAGTATTATATTTATTCCAATTTTATAAATGATATAAAAATCTTGAAATCAATAAATATAAATATTAATTTATTTATTAAATTTTTATTAATAATAATTTTAAATTATATTAATAATATTTAATATTATATATATTTTTTAATTATTAATTAATTTAAATATTATAATTATAATATTAAATATTATTAGTATAATTTAATTATATTATAATAACTAAATATTTTATTTAAAATTTTATTTATAGATTTAGTTAAAAGCTTTGCATCTGAACAAATTCTTAATATTATTATAAAAAGATAAAATAGTATATATAATTCTGTAATAGAAATAGCATATATTATTGATTTGAGATTTTAAGAAAAAACATTAGCTAATAATATTATAACAATTTTATCTGATTTTGTTAAAAAATATTATCCAGAAACTTGTATTAAAATTTATAGTTAATTATTAGAATATTTAAATCATACAAATCTATTTAATAATATTATGACATGGAAAACAGTTAATAATACTGGTCAATTAACTTAATGGTTAAGAAATTTTTCAAATTCAGCTTCTAAACTTACTCAATTTGCAAAAAGAATTTCAACTATACCTACATGATCTGCTATTACAAAACATAATTAGTCTGATTTTAGTTATATTCATTTAAAAAAAAGAAACAAACTTAAATTATCAAGAGTTTTTAAATTAGTTTATATATTTAATAATAGTAAATTAAGAAATATTATAATATTAAAAAAGAAATAATTAGTAAAATAAATAAATTAGACAATTTAAATTGTTTTAATATTGATAAAATTAATATTAAAGATAAATTTTAGAAAGATTTATTTGATAATAATAAAGATGAATTAAATTTATTTGATGATGACAATTTAGAAGAAGAAATAGATAAATTAAATATTAATTACTATAGTAAAGATCAAAATAGTAAAAATCAATATAGTAAAGATCAATATAGTAAAAATCAATATAGTGAAGATCAATATAATAAAAATCAAAATATAGAAGACCAATATATTGAAACTCAAAATATTGTTATTGAAAATCAAAGTATTGAAGAATAAAAAAATTTTTTTTTTTTTTTTAACCTTAAGCAGTTACACTAGTACTTTATTAAGATTCTTAAAACTAAATACATATAATTACATAGAATTTCCCAATACTCAAGTTTAGCATCACTCGGCCACCCTATTGGTACCTAAGTGCAACCTGCTGCACTATCTCAGTTAGAGA